GTGTTATCGAGGGAAAAATATCGAACAAATACCTCATAATACGTATCCCCGTTTCTCTTGTTCATCTTCCGCAGGAAATCCGGACAGACGTGAAAATATACGCGAGGAAGCAAAAGGAAAGGAAACGTTTTCCGTATATATAATCGCGGTTGTGTTGGTCAACGCGTGTTTCTTCTTTTTATTCTCTGTCGCGTTTCCTGCGATTCGCATCGAAATTGAAGCGCAGAAGAAATAATTAATAGTTTTCTACAGTTTCGTTTCGTGTCGAGTGAAAATTCGTGGACAAGAGTTGAAATCGTGTCGGAATCTGGAATTGTTGTGACGGAAACGAAGATTTCGACGTCATCTACGCGGATTCAGCTGTTCGTTCATCGACTCATTCAAAGACTCACTTCCAAGTCCAATAGGTGAGTTTACCTTCCGAGTTCATTTTTAAAACGAGTCCAAGCATTTGCAGACGTATGATGAAATTTTGTCAGCTTCTGGACTTGAAAATTTATTAGTTGAATGTAAAAAAATACCTGGATCCAAAAATGATTCCTCAATCTCAGGGAACTTATTTCTGAACCCCATGAACACGTCACCTATTCAGGCAACAAAGAGCAAATATTCAAATGAGGCCAAAAACATATTACAGTGCAGTACATTTAAAATATTTGAAAAACCTGTGAACAGGAAGAAATAAAGTTGAAAGACTTGATTATCATCGCTGTTACAGGTGGACTCCATTTAAAATGATCTTGTTTACAATATACAAGTGTTTTCTCTGCACAATGAAATAAACTATAGTATCTGTAGTCCCATAGAATCATATTCACAGATATGTTGTGGGGTTCTCTCTACAACAAAAATTCGCTTTACAGAGATTTTTTTTTCCCTTGGATTTTGTTGTTTACAGAGAGTGTCCACCTAGCTGTAATTGTACATGGTGTAAAAAAAAACAAATTTTCATTGAGAAGTTTTGAATCCATTACATTGATTTCCTCATTTTGTGTTTCTTGTCCGTTACAATAATGAAGGCTTGCTGCAGGGTGGGCAGATGTCGCTGTCTGTGAATGTTGAAATATGCAGAAGTTGTACTGCGTTCCATTTTATTCTTGGTTTATGTCACATTATCGTGGAAAGATCAATTCAGTTCTGGTAAAAATTATGAAATGCATGTCCATTTATGTGTCGATTAATCCTTGCAAATAATCCTCCCAAAGAATCCACCAATGTTTATTACGTGTTTCGGCGCCCAATTCAATTCTGATTTTCAGGCATTGCCAAAAATTATAATTTATCTTCATATAGTGCACTTGAAGTTACTTCCTGGATACTTAAAAATAAATTATTTTTAGTAGCTGTTAAGCATGTTCCTGGAAAAGTGACTGAGGATTTAAAAAAAAACTCGAATATACGGCAATAAAAACACTGTTTAATATTTGGAACAATTCTATGAAAGCAATTATTTCATGACTGACTGCAGTCAAATTCAGGTTTTCTTACATGAGCTGAAAGCCAACGCTACAGAATTGATGGAATTAGTGGAAAAAGGCAATATTGTTCCTGTCAAGCCCAGCAGAAAATTGCTACCTTTTAGCACAAATTTCTGGATGAGGCGTTCCACCTTTTCGCCGGATTAAATTCGAGTGCCAATTATTGTCGATCAGCACGTCAGCAAAAGCCGCATCGAAGTCCTTTTTTCTGAAGTGCAAGAAGGGAAGCCCGAAAAATTACGGTCGTTCAGCGCGTCAAGAAGCTAAACAAAGTGGGACGGGTTTTGAATATTTCACGGGGGCTTCGAGGACCCATACAGGAAATGGCAAAACCAGTTTCCTTTTGGGCGTGAAGTTATTTCCTGGCTCACCACCACAAGCAGGAAATTCCGAGTTTTTCCTGGAATTGCGGGTTATTCCGTGAAATGGCAGGAAACTTGTTTCCAAGTGCAACGGGTTTCTCAAAACGTCTCGCGATGAGTCATTGATGGAATTTCATTACATATGCACAAATAAAATAAAAAACAATCATGGTAAAAAGGAAAAAATACTTTTCAAATGAGACAGTCCCGGTCCCGAAAATCTGACACAATCAGGAAGGATTTGAGAAATTCCATTTTGTCCACCTATGGGATCAGCAGGAATTACATTTGAAACTGTTGCATCATTCTGCGTTATGGCGATCATTATTCAATTTGAGTTTCTCAAAAAATTTATTTTTTGAATATGCTAAAATTAACTCGGGTTTTCTCATAGCCAACTTCGTTACTGGCAGCATTGGAATTTCATTTGTTTTCTTCCAAAGAAACTGCCATTTCAGTGAAAACCTTCTTATTCCCTGAGTTTTTTGCTTTTGCGAGCGTCTTTCAATAATTTTTTTCGAGTCTATTCTTTTTTTATTGTGGAACATGAGCATTTTCACTCTTACGTTTGGTACCTTACAAATCATGGAACTTTGGAAAATTTCTAAAATTCTGCTTGAGGTGACTGAGAAGGAAAAAAAACGAATCATCTGCGATTGCGGAATGGTGAAATTATTCCTTGGATTTATTCTTCCATAATTAAAAAATTTAGTAGATTAAAAAATTAATCTAAAAAACCACGTTTTCAAAAAGGAAAAAAATAACCTTAAACGTGGTGCGCATCTATTTCATTTGTATTTCACTTCTTCCCAACAATCTCCATGCGCACCACGTTTAAGGTTATTTTTTTCCTTTTTGAAAACGTGGTTTTTTAGATTAATTTTTTAATCTACTAAATTTTTTAATTATGGAAGAATAAATCCAAGGAATAATTTCACCATTCCGCAATCGCAGATGATTCGTTTTTTTTCCTTCTCAGTCACCTCAAGCAGAATTTTAGAAATTTTCCAAAGTTCCATGATTTGTAAGGTACCAAACGTAAGAGTGAAAATGCTCATGTTCCACAATAAAAAAAGAATAGACTCGAAAAAAATTATTGAAAGACGCTCGCAAAAGCAAAAAACNAAAGAGTGGAAGGATAATAACCCAAACAGACAGACAAGAAAGTGAGTTCATAAAAACGTGGTAAAATGCGGTTCTTGCGAAAAGCTGCTATGAATAAATCATCAGAAGTTCATGAAGAAAACTTGCTAGATGTGGCGTGAAAAGACATACGAATTTTGAAGCAGAATAAGAAAAGATGCACTTTCAGAAGGTTCTCAATTAAAATTGTGCCCAGCAGCGTTCAATCCGAACTTTTGCATTTTTCCACTGATGGAAAGGCTGAACTTATGCATTTATTCAAGGTCGGAATGTGGTACTCCTTCATGAATAATACCTGTTCTTGCGAAATTTCAAGAGAAAACATCTCGGAACAACATCATCCGAACAATGTAGGATGGGTTTCTTTGATGTTATTGTGGTTAAACAGAACCGGTTTTTTTTTTCCAAGAAATCCAAGTATTGTGGGGTCACAGAATTACTGTTTCCTACAGCCCCTTTTAGTTCATTACCTTCCTCATGTCTGGATAGAAACTGAAAAAAACGTTCAGGAACATCGAATAAATGATGAATCATTTTCGTTGTATCGTGTATATTTATTGCGTTCTCCAAATATAAAATAATCCCTGCTGGACATTCAGAGATATAATTCCAACTGCAATGGATAACCACTTGAAAGTTATGCATACTGAATTGAATCAAATTGAACAGGAAGCTTTATTCTCTGCTTTTCAGTATCACCAAGGTTCACTCAACAGCATTCCCACATCCAATTTGGAGATATACTTTTATGAAAAATCATGTAAGGTCAACAGTGTGTCTTGGTCCTCTAGGATTTTAGAGAGGATCTTTTCATTGAATTTCAATGGTCCCAATTTTTTTTTATGCTCATTTTTGTTGGTGTGGAATGATGGGTATAAGAAAAAAGGTGCTCTGGTGATGCATCAACCAGTGTATTTATGCTGCAGTAATTGCACCATTTAGACTCCTTAGAATATTTAATGAATTTCTTATTAAAGTGCCATGAATTTGTCAAAAGAGCTATGGTATCATATACCAATGGGGTGTTAGATGATACAAATAGTAATGGTTCAGTTTTGCCTCAAGCAAGAAAAGCTAGTAATTTACTTGATTTGACAACATCACAATTAGCATGACAAAATTGAGTAATTAGGATCTTTTCTCTGACTTTATTGATGATGCACTTGAGAAACTGTAAAAATTCTATATATCCTGTACATATCCTAAGTGTTCAAGTAGCGATTTTCCTCCATTCAAAATCAGAAAACAGCATTGGTTCACTACATCAACACAAAAACCTTTGAAGAAAGTTATTTGACATACCTTTAACCATGATCATGAATCCTTCTTGACTGTTTTTTTGGGTTATTATCCTTCCACTCTTGAAACTCTGAGAAAATTGTTTGACTTTGTGTAGAAAATGTTTGGCTACCTTTGTGAATTCGGCCTGATGACGTAACTCATTATCTTGCTTGATACTATTATTTGTACGACTTATTACTGTCGGTGATGTCTTTTTTCTTCTAACGAATGTCTCAGATCCTTGACCTCAGGAGGGGTGGGAGGGGTCAACTCCTACATGTATGACCTTTCTGACAGTACTGGCACCCCTTCTTTATTATTGATTTCCTCGTCACAGGGTGTTTCCTTTTCGCCTGGACAAATAGATTTTGATGACAGTAAGACAGGTTCAAGCAAACGAAAATCTAGGAACCGTATTTCTTAAAATACAATTTCGATTCTGATTTTGACGTCATGGTACGCGTTTTCATCGCACTTTTCATTCAATTACCTGCGTTTTTATCCCGATTTATTTCGAAATTGATTCTGGAAAATTTTCAGCCTTTGACCATAAGTGCATTAGCCCTTGGACGGCTAAGTCGGACTATTTTCGTGAAATTTTGTACCACCTCAGAGAGGTAAAGAAAAAAATGAGGACAGGGAGCCAAGGGCAAAGTCGGGAATAATCCCAGCGTTTTTTTTCCCTCCCAGCAGAAAAATTTTTTTGGCAAAAAAAAAAAAAACTCTCAGTTAGGCTACCGGTTTATTTTGGATTAATCCCAACTTCGCCTCAGCCCACCTGGAAGGGTTTTGGTGACCTTCCCAAGACTGAAAATGCGGGAGGATACAAAAATAATCCGACTCCGTCCTGCTATGGGAAAGAACCCTCCGCCGTCCGAGGGTTAGTCATGGTATATAAGCACCACTAAAATTTTGGGTAGAAGGGAAGTGCAGTCCCTTCTCAAAATTGAGAAAAATTTTCATCCAGATTTGGGAACGTAGTCTTTGGCATATTTTATTCAAGATTGCAGTGCGTCACATTTTTTGAATAAATGTTGCATGCACGACTAGTTTAAATCGTGGTTTCATTCGCATCATGCCCTGCTTGTCAAGCCGGAAATGGGACTTGATTTTTAAAAACTGCATTATTGATTTCGGCATATGCAGTTTATGCTTGCGTTTTCCAACAGGGAATTTTCTTGAAAATTTCTGTGAATGACAAATAAACGTTTTTTTTTTTAATTTTGAACAGAGTTTAAATTATGTTTTTGTTTTAAAAGCATGCTTCTCAAAGTGTTTCGCCTGTAGACACAAAAATCATTTCCATGAATGACAGGATTCACTGATGGTCAGTTTTTTATCCTATTTTTTTCTACTTGCCGTGATTTTCTCAAAGGCTGGTGGGTATCTCCATGTAGAAAAATAGCAGATTATCCTGGGAAACTTCAAGGTGAAATATGCATAGGAAGGTTTACCATTCAAGACAAACACAGTACACTTCTGAGGAACGATCAAACTTTTCCAGTACATTATTTTCTTATCTATTATGCATGAATGTGGAGTGCAGCAACAGTGGTTACATTGCAAACCAAATAATCATGAATTTCATTTTGCAGTGTTACCCAAACCTCTTGGGCCTGCGGACCAGGAAATAGCCACAGAATTTTTTGGAGACTGGAAAGTTTCATACAATTTTTGCAGACTGAAAAAAGTTTTGGTTGAAAGACTTTACAGGATATGACAAGTTTTTATAAAGTGTGTCTTTGTTTGCAAAAACTAAGTTAAGTACTGATGAAGCAGCATCATTGGAAGGTCTACAAAAAATTAAAAAAAGGCAAGCCAGAAAATTTTTCAAAATTGAAAAAATAGAGATTTTTTTTTCAAGTGGGTCATTCTGCATCTCAAGTGTTATTAGGAGAAAAACCAACTTTTAACCCTTGGGTGGCAAAGTTGGCCTTTTTTTGCAAAAAAATGTTTTCACATCAGAGAGGTGAAGAAAAAATGTCAACAGGGGGTTTAGGGCAAAGTCAGGAAAAATCCTGGTGTTTTTTTTTTTTTCCCTGGGCACAGACAATTTTTGCAGGAAAATTAAAATGCTCAGTTATTCTACCATGCAGCTTTTCTGGATTTATCCTGGCTTTGCCTCAGCCCACCTGTAAGGATTTTACTTACCTTCAAAATTATGGAAATGTGGAAGGATACAAAAATAATCCAACTCCGTCCTGCTATGGGAAACAACCCTCTGCTGGTCAAGGGTTAATTTTCATCAGAAAATTTCAACAGCCATTGTCTTTACAAAATTTCAGAAAAAGACAACCAAACATCGCTACTTTTGATAAATTTAATATACTAAAGAGAATTTCCCACAGTCTGGCAAAAAAATTCTGCTGATTGGCGCCAGTCCACAGACTACAGGTTTAAAAAGTAACTGTATATTTTTAAAAACCGCATCTTGAAGGCAAAGAATTGTCAGAAGATGAAAACCAAAGTTACTTCATTTTACTGGTCAAGTTAATGATGTGAAGGTTCTTTAGGAATGACCCCTAATGGATCTTTCGAGGGGTTTAGATTCTAGTTGCTGAACAGATCTTCTGTGTGAGGAGGAATTCTTTTGAGAATTCTGACACTGAGCTTCGCTATAAATCTTCTGGGAGGTTTTTTGAGAACCTTTTTTTCCAACTTTTACTAAGATTCATCTGCTGGAAAAAATATCTACTCATTAGCACACTGGGTACAGATATCCAATTTCATATGCATGTAATCATATATAACTGAGGAAAGCTTGATTGAGCACAAGAAAGGATGTCGTCAAGTGTTTTTGCATGGCTTGAGCAGGATTATGTTCGAGGATTTGAGGCATTTCCGGTTCAGGCGTTCTTTCTCTTGAGATTCGTTCGGAAATGTTGTGGCAGATAATTTGCATCTGCGTGTCTGTGGGATGAATATTTCTTTGCCTGGTTTCGCAATTAATAAACGGAAATGCGGCTGAAAAGAAAACCAGATTAGCTTGACGAACAGTTTGAGAAAAATGCAGGATTCAGCTTTGCATCATTAATTATTCACATAATTAATATGCAACGGTCTGACTCATGGCAATCTAACATGCTTAAACATTTGTTCATTTTTTTTTTATTTCCCTGGAAATATTTTTTTCCTGCATCAAAATAAAGCGCCTAATGTTTTCTGATTTCTTTGTTTTTTCCACTGCAAAAACATGTTTTGCAGTGTTCTTGTTTATGAGGGAATCAGGAAGAGTTGCACATGTGAAAAACAAATTTGTGCTTCTTCTGATTTTTTCCCCGCATTGTAACAAAATGCAGATGGTTTTGCACCTGACTTTTTGGAGAAAAAGAGCTGCATTGAAGTTATAAATGCGTATTCAACTCATTCCACCCCCAAAAGAAGCCAACTTTTCTCCTCTCCAGCTTCCCACGCAATTTTCCCGAATGTCCCACATATATGAACCACCTTCTCATGTAGACATTGCCACTGGAAACGCCGCGAAGAACACGAGATCCCTTCATGGCGTCTGTTGGGGACAACTGTCACCACAACACAAGAAAAGAGAAAGAAGCTGTGGATCAAAAGAATTATAAATAGAAACACAGAATCAGCCTGGGACAAGGCTGGAGATTCCTGGTAGAATCCAAACTTTAACTTTAAACTGTATTTCAATATAGTCCCAACAAATAATGAAGATTTTGACAAGTCACACAAGAATTAAATGAACAGCAAAAAACCTCTCAGCAAGCTTCGAATTTTGTCACTGTGTTCACCACACAACAGCTAGACTCAGACTGATGAT